AATATCATATTTGGGTTTTCGTATAGGTTCTCTGCTAGAGGCTTTGGTGATGGGAGAATTTCCTTCTTTGCTTGTGGGGTTAAAATTAAGTTTGACAAAATGAAGAAGTTTAAATGCGGATTTTTTTTATAATATTGTCTCTTACCCTCATTTTAAGCACTGTATGTTTTAGCTAAAAAAGATTCCATCGTCCCCGAATGAAGTGTGAAAATCAAATTAGATGGGACAAATGGTAGAGTAGTGTTATTTTGGTATATTTTAATAATCTGTACCAAGTTTGATTTGTTAATAAATTTTGAGACATTTATTTAATGTTATATGGGGTTTGATAGGATAGTGTTTAAATTTTGTACTTGCTTTGTGTCATCATGGATTTCTATTGCTTCAAATATCCCATCATCCGGAATGAAGTGCAAAGTTCAAATTCATATTGAAACTATTTGGGGTCGAATGCTTGATTTACTAAATTGGTATGGGTTAGATTAAAGTTCAAGTATTAATTCGAGAGTAAAAATTCTTTAGATATTAACTTGAGAGAGAATTTGATCTTTTAGGCAATGTTTAATTATACATATGTATGAATGTATATTACTCTTTTTGGTTTCTTTCGGTAAAACAAAAAAGGAAATTGAAAAATAGTAAATTAAATACAACAAAAATGGAGAAATGAAAATATATTTTTATATTGGTATCGAAAGTGTTATTCTTTTAACATTTTAAATATTTAATATTATTTAATTTTAAAATTTAGATTAATGTTGTCTAAGATATTTCGGGTGAATACACATACTAACTGAATATTTCAAGATTTAAAATATTATGATACTAACTTTTAATTTGAACTTGAAATGTTTTTTTATTTATTGACAAAACAGTATGGATTGAAGACTGAAAATATACATAAAGTATTATTATATGTTTCATTAAAAACTTTCTAAGGAAAATAATACATATAATAATACCAGAAAGCATCTAGTGACCGACACAATCAGCCTGCAAAATCTCCAATTTAAGAGGAAAAAAATTGAGGTTAAATTAAATAAATTAACTGAATCAAAGTAATTTGATTTAATTGATTTTTAACTTTTAATTTCATTTTTAAAAATTAGTTAAAATAATTAAATCAGTTTGATTTTGATTTTGGTTTTAACTTTCAAATTTAAAATTAAATTAATCGGCTTAACCCAAATCTATTGATTCCTTACCCCTGCTACGAAGCACTTTAATAAGACAAAAAAACACTCGAACCTCCCGAGAATTCTACAAAAAGGTCAGGATGGGCATTTCGTCATTTTGCTTGTTTGTTTACTTGATTTAGTTTTCTTTTTTCTTCTATTTTTTAAGGGAAAATATATTTGTCGGAGAGAAAGAAGTGAAAATGACAACCGCATCGTTTAGCGGTTTGAATTACTCGAGATCGACTCGATCAAGGCTCGATAAATACTCGGATCGAATGGAATTGACTCGAGCTCGACTCGATTTCTTAATGAGCAGAAACGAGGTACTCGATATTCGACTCGAATAGCTCGTGAGCAGCTCAAAAATAAAATATATTAAGATTTTATTTTTTAAAAAAATAAATTATTAATAATATTAATATTTATGTATTGATTTTTTTAAAAATACAGTAAGATTTCATGTATTTAATGTTCATGTTCGAGTTTGAGGTTTCAATCGAGTTAAGTTTAAGATTTCTCCTATGCTTTTTAACGGTTGGATAGTTGTTACACTTGATGCTGGCCAAAGCAGAGGAGAAGGGGATGTTTTCGGGCTTTGTGTTAGGAAACCATGAGCGTTCTTTTTTGTTGTCATATTTGCAATTTGCGGACGATTTAATTATCTTTAGTAAGGCCTCTATTCGATATTTGAAGAACATTAGAAGGGTGCTAATTATTTTTTAATTATTGACGGGCTTGCAGTTTAATTTAGCCAAGAGCAGAATCTTTGGCATTAATGTAGAGCCATAAGTGATATTAGGCTGGGCAAAGGAAATTGGTTGTTCAATGGGGATTTTTCCAGCAGAGTATTTAGGATTATCGTTGGGGTCCAAGAGGAATTCGGTTGCCTTGTGGGAGCCGATTGTTCAAAGATTTTTCTCGAAGTTGGCTGGTTGGAAGGCTAGTTCCTTATCTCTTGCTGGAAGGGATGTTTTGGTAAATTTTGTGTTGTGTTCTCTTCCTACATTCTTTCTCTATTTTTCGAATACCAGTTGGTGTGGTTAAAAAGTTAAACTCTATTATGGTTGCCTTCCTTTGGGGGGTTCAACAGAAAAAAGAAATATTCACTGGATTAATTGGAAGTTGGAGTGTAAGCCAAAGAGGTTGGGGGTTTAGGAATTCCTAATTTGGTTCTATTGAATAGGGCATTGTTGGGCAAATGGGTCTGGAATTTGCATAAGAGAAGGATTCGTGGTGGAAAAGAGTTGTTTGCTGCGTGTATAATATGGATCCGAACTCGTGTGTGATTGGGAATTCGTGGCCTAACCGTGCTTCATGAATTTGGAAAGGAGTTGTAAAGAATTGTTTTGTCAGTGACGATTTTGGGGACTGTTTAAGGAAAAACTTGTGTTTGAAAATAGGAAATGGTGAGACAGTGCAGTTTTGGCAGGATTCTTGGGTGGGCTCGATTCCGTTAAAAGATCAGTTTCCTAGAATTTTTGCTCTCTCGATTAATAAAGGGGGTAAAGTTGCTGAGTTTAGGGTCAATTCATCTTCAGGTAGTTGTTGGGATATACAATTGAGGAGAAATTTGGTAGATTGGGAAGTGGAACACTGGCTTCAGCTTATGTCATTGTTGAGTAGTCTTTCATTGTCATCTTTTCAAGAAGATTGTTGGGTGTGGACAGGGAATGAAAAAGGATGTTTTACAGCTAAATCATGCATTAAGTGTTACTTTGATGGGACTGGTACTGATGTTAATGAAGATATTTGGGACAACTTAGTATGGGTTGGGGTTGCTCTACCAAGGGTGGAATCATTTATTTGGCAGGTTCTTTATCAGAGAGTGGCATTTAGGGAAGAATTGTTGAAGCGAGGAGTGATAGGGATTGATGACCCTTTGTGTCCGTTGTGTGGCAAGTGTGTGGAGTCGGTTGATCATCTCTTCTTGCACTGTGAGGTGGTTTGGTGTTTGTGGAGAAGATTCTTGTCTTCTCGAAATGTCTCTTTTATGGTTCCGCAGAGGTTGTTGACCTTCTTCACGGTTTGGAATAGTCTAGGTCCGAGTTCCGTTATATGGAAATTTATTCCAATGATGGTGTTGTGGTCGATTTGGAAGTGTAGAAATGAAATTGTTTTTGATAAAGGGAAGGTGGATGGTTTGTTTTTGTTTTTCATTGTTCGGTTCAGAATTGCTTTATGGTTTGTGGCAAGATTCAAAGATGTGAAGATTATTTTTTATTCCCTACTGTGTGATGTTAAACTAGCAGATTTTGTGGGAAAGAAGAAGAAGGGTAGTTCTTTGTCATCCTGTTGGGTTTCTCCCCCTTCAGGATTCGTTAAATTAAATGTTGATTGTGCGATGTCTAAGGATTGAGTTAAAGGAGGCATAGGGGGTTTGATAAGAGACTCTGAAGGTCTGCTGCTGGGTTCGTTTTCAGAGAGGATAGGGAGTGGTCCTCCTATTCTTGCAGAGTTAATGGCTATCAAAAGAGGGCTGCTGCTTATAGAGGAATTAGTTTTGGTTCCTATGTCAAGGGTTATCTTTGAATCGGATTCCCTTACTGCACTAAAGTGGATTAAAAATTCAGCTCTATGTACTCATATGTTTCAGCCTTTGGTGAAAGAAATTACAACCCTACTGGATAGTAAAGACATTATCATTAGGCATATTTTTAGAGCTGCTAATTGGGAATCAGATAAATTAGCTAAAGAAGGAATAGGCTGATAGGATATGGGTTAGGTTGTTATGTTTCGGAGTTGGTTGTTTTTGTGGTGTTAGTTTGTTGTTTAAGTGTTATGTTGTTTCACAAGTTTGTAGGATCTGGCTTTGTATTATTCTTATATTAATAAAATCTTAGGCACTCTTTTCCTCCTTCCAATGGCTTTCACGTTACTGTTGTAACATGGAGGTTATGAAGGGGTTTTTTTAATGAGGCCTACTCTATTTCTATAAAAAAAAAACTTTCATTTTTTCAGAAGTGGTCATGTCTGGCACATATTAAGGAATGTGGGTATTTCTCACCCCTAAATATAGTAAAGATCTTAGAAAAGATTTTATGCAACTCAATCAGATACAGATGTATTTGCAGTCCTGAGTCTAAGCATGGGAGATAGGATACGATATTTTCTTATTATTAACTAATATCATTGTTTTCCATATGAGACAACTATGAAGGGGGTTTTAATGAGACCTCCTACTTCTATAAAAAAAACCTAATATGATTGTTTTCCACATATATTTTGGTTTAAGAGTTATTATGATGTGGATTATCTTTGACACTCACTCGTACCTACTAAACTATATAGACTAGCTTATAGAAATGACCTGAGGCATCTGAGAAGAAAGTTCTTGCTAAGAAAGTTGCATAATTCCAATCTGTCCTAGTACTCTTTATTTGCTAGAATTTAATGCAGTGGTGCCAAGTTCAACATTTAGTTAAGAAAAACAAAGCTAATGATTGCTGATTGATATGTAAACCTACATAATCACGCGGTGGCTTTCTAGTACACTTAAGAAATTGAAGGCAATCACAACTAGAGAAACTTTATAGATACACACACATTTTATGGAGGACAAGGAACCTTTGAATGTGAATAAATCATAATTGTGGAAGGATTTAGTTATTTGGATATTTTATTAAATTTATCTATTATTATGGGAGTAATTTGTACATTTGGAAAAATATTTGGACATGTGGTTATTATTTTTTATGCTTTGGAAGTCTTCCTTTACCGACAAGTATTCAGTGATACATATACAATTTTCCGTTTTGCCTGCCCCTTTCTTGGTACACATTCTTTGTAAATCTTTGACTCTTTTCTCTAAATTCAATTTCAGGATTTTAAGGTTCACCGGGATGAAATACATACAAAGCTTGTTTAGATAATGAGAGAGAGGTTGTTGGTTCATCTGCGTGGGCTACCCCAGATTGTTGAGAGCTGGAATAGGCCAGAAGATGCTGACCTACAGGCCAGTCAATTTGCCAAGTCCCTTACTAAGGTAGCTACGATGTTTTGTTTAATTTGACATCAGGGGTTCTTACCTTGTTTAATCCTTTTTTTTTTTTTGGTCTCTGATGGATTCAATTTAGGGAAAAACACTTTATTAGTTGAAGAATCATGCAAAAAATATGGGAGTATAATTCCTAAATGAAAACCCAATTTATGCCAGTAGTTTTTTCTTTCTTTCTTTCAAGTGTAACTAGTTCAATATTTTTGTACATTTGACTTGAATTGCAATGGATGGATTGATTTTGATTGGCTGTTTAATTGGTTTACTGGAAGTTGGGTTCCTCCAAGGTGTTTTATCTCGAACATTGCATGAAGTAGATGTTCAAGCAATTTTCAGGTGAGGAGAATTCAACTCCTAATTTAGTCACTGGACAGTTTGTTTCATTATCAGTGGCTAAACTCTTGGTTTAATCATTTTTATTTATGAGATGATATAAACCCCCATTCCGTATGTTTATGGAAAAAATTCAGTTTTTTCTCTCCCGTCAACCCTCCTTTCAACTCCGATCTACTCGCTGTCCGACCTCCGATTGACGAGCCGAAACCATCATCGTGTTCGTTGTCAACCGAGGAACAAAACCCCTCAAACCTTTCGTCATGAATCGTCACCGTTCGTCGTTAATTTCAGTCGGAAGTATCGTCGGTAATAACTCGATTTCAATTGGTTTTTCGTCGATTCACGACGATCCGATGATCCGTTTACGACACCTCCCGCACCATCGTGTTCCTTGCATCGTTCCGAGTCCGCCGGTGTCATCCTTGGTCTCCGTCAACGGCGGCGCGTGAGGAGGTGAAGCGGTTAAAGTTTCCGAATTGTTGAAATCGAGCTCTCCGCCGTTCAAAATTGTGAACCGAGCTTTGTAAGTATCTCGAAATCGCTCAAAATAATTTTTAGGAATTTTCCCGGAATTTTCCGACACCATAGCACTGTTCACGTGCCGCCACTGCGCAGGGGGAAGAAAAAATGACCGCTTTGACCGGTTTTGGAGCTGTTTTGACCGGTTCCAACCCGACCCGACCCGTTTACCCGTTGACCCGACCCGAACAGTTTACCCGACCCGACCCGTTTACCCGACCCGACCTATTGACTCGTTGACTGGTGTTGACCAAAACTTTGACGGGCTTTGATCGGGCATTAAACGACCTTTGACTTTGACCGAGTATACCTATCCTGATATTTTTGACGTTCCAAATCCGATTTCGATGTTAGTTTTTCGAAATTCAGACCCGAATGCCTCGAAATTTCCAGTCAAACCCGTTGACTTTGATTTTGACCGAAAATTCTAAATTTTCGAAAAGGCATATTTTATGCTTTCGACGTCCTGAATCCGAATCCGAAGTCCGTTTCGCCAAATTCGAACCCGATAAGTTGTTTTTCACTGATTTATCATCCGATTCGATCCGTTTATCTCAATTAAGCTCTGTTTCTGATATAATCTTTGTTAATATGGATCCGAGGAAATATTGGAAGATGATTTCAAGATCGAGGGCGTTCGAATGGAATTTAATGGTCGATCAGTATTGCACATAAATCGAGGTAATACTTTACTACATCTTTATGTTTTATGGAACATGTGAATATTGGTAAATGCATGATTAAGATAATGTTGGTCTCATTTGTGTAGTTAATTAGTTTCTACACTCGATCTGAATACGGTAAAAGGGTTCAGTAATTGATTATGGTTCAGATGATTTTTATAAGAAATTGAGGGATTGTTAGAACTAAATTACAAGTTATGTGCTTAGTGATAAAAAAATCAACATGGATTTATAACTTATAGTTTATTTCATCAAAGGTTAAATGTTAAAAGTACTTGGATGGGTAGTCCTAGTTAACCCTGAATGAGAAAATACTTTGAGGATTCATACTTAACTCGATTAAGTACAGATTTGATTGTTAAGATCCTGACTTAGTTCAGGAAAATTCCTCATATTCCGTTTGTAAAATCTGAGAAGACACTTGACCCAGAAATATCCGAGTTATGAGTAAATACCTGAAGAATAATTTGTCGGGGTGTTTTGTTGTCATAATTGTTCGAAAGGACTGAAATAAATGATAAGATTGAATTTAATAGTAAGATCGGACATAATAAAATGATTGAAATACGTTGAATCTGTAAAATGACCAAAATACCCTGTAATGGAAATGACCCAAGAATACCACCAAGCTCAAGAATGATTAGATATCTTCGAGCTCTGAAATAAATGGAATAAAAATGAACACCAAAATTACCAAAATACCCTTGTGCCATATTCTAAGTAAATGCCTTGGATTAATTAAGGAATCCAAATAAGCATAGGTATTGGACTACCTTTAAAAAATTATGGAACACAGCTTAAGTAAGCCGATCAACTTTAATGATATGTCAGTACCTGAACGACATAGATATTACTTGAATGCGTGTTCGTCTACTCAAGTTTAACTCGATGATAATTTTGGAAGTATTCAGCTCAGCTCAACTCTAGATCGCATTCAGTATTAAGAATTGGACGTTTGTTCGACAAATAAACCACGAAGACCAAATTGAATTGAACGGAAGTACAATATGTATACGAATTTCAGAAACGTCTGGATTACCCTAGAAAAACCTGAAATCACTGGAATGGACTTGACTGCTAATTGAATTAAGTAACCTCAAGGACTAAGGATTAAATAAGTGATTTGGATGAGTCTGGAAACGTTAATGAAGATACATGATGTAATGTTCTTATGTGTCATGAACTACAAATCAAACACGTCAGCAGTTCATGATATAGTGAAAGCGTGAACATGAAATTAAGAGCATTGGAATATCTGTTAGTCTCCTTAAGATCTGTTCAGTGATGACTCAGAAGATGATCTATGGATAATAATATTTGGTATTAAAGAGTAAATACCCTGGAAAGTTAATGAATTGACAAGTAGACAAGTATTAGTTATGGGGCTATTTATCTGGAGTTGTTAGATAATCTGATTAATCGACATAGACTGTAAATGTCTTGATTCCTCATTTCTTCCTTACCGGCTTAAGTCATATTCTGAATAACTGATGATTCCGTCAGTTATTGAACTCTTCCAATAGTGATTCTGAATTCCGATATTCTATCGGTATACTGAAAATCTGTGTTCCTCTACCTGTTAAGATTATCCAATATCTTTGAATAATATCTGTAAATTCTGGTGTGTTCCCCACTCACATGAAAATTTTATCTGATTTTCGATTTGAATTATGATCTGATACTTGACATGGATTCTGATATGATATCTGACATGGATTTTGATCTGATACTTGACTTGGATTCTGATCTGATACTTGACCTGGATTTTATATGATACTTGACATGAATTATGTTTTGATTTTTGATATATCCGTTTACGGACGGAACATGTTTTATTTGGGGGTATTGTTGGAGGAAGTATACCTGGAGGCTCCTCGGCTGTGTGCTAGGGCCTTACTTACCGATTCCTCGACTGTGTGCTCAGGGTCTTATTGGACGTGATGGGGTTGTATGGTTCTGGGGAACCTACACATTTTGTACGTGACGGATGGGGGTATATATATATGTTTTAAAAGATCTGTATCTTTTTACTGGTTTTATGGGAACACACTAGATAATCTATTCTGATCTCCTGAACTTATTCATCCGAAACACTTCTCGGAACTGAAAGCTCACTGTATGTTACTATCTGAAATATCAGTAGGATCTTTGCTCAGCATAAAAATTTGTAGATGTCTGAATCGATAAGAAAATATATGTTTATTTGTATCTGCACGTTCTTCAGCATCATCTGGTAGTTCTGTATTACTGAGCTTTCCGAAGCTCACTCTATTACTCAACATTGCAGGTTAAAAGAATCGTACCAGTGCATCTATCGACGTCAGTAAAGGAGTTCTTCCGGCATTGCTTACAGAGTATGGTACATGTGATTAGGGGGCATGTAATTGTATTTTGATTTATATACGAGTCTGGAAATCTGTTTTATTTTTAAATAGTGACAACTGATTTTATTAGTTTACATGTAATTTAAAAAGTTTTAAATTTTCCGCTATTTTTACAGTGGTCGTTCCGGTGGCCCAAAAGTGACACCCCAGATCGGATCTGGTTACCCTTATCGGTCTGTGGGGGTTACCCCATAGATTCATTTATATTTTTTTGTTGAATATTGAAGGTTTGATTTCCCTTCATGATACAGGGTGTAGGTGTAATCTTGCCTGTAAAATATTTATGAGAAGGGATCTTTTATCCCCGTTAAGAACTAGTGAATTTTGCTTGTCCTGTCCTTTAACCAGTTCTTTTCCTCTCTCTTTCGTTTGATGGCATTAATTTTTGTTAAAACACTTAGAATCATTGATCCCGTCTAGGTGAGCTTTGATAAGATTGTACATTACTACATGAACACACACGGAAAAGGATATAATATTTGCTTCAAGCAACTCTAGTTTTTCTTATTAAAATATGAATGTTGAAAGTAGATGGTTCATTGATGAAATAGAATTGTTCCCTTTAATTACTTATCCTGTGCAGGCAAGTTGTTGTAGTGTGCCATTCACAAATTTCGGAAGCATTTTCACGCTTAGAGATCAGCACTCCTCAGGCAAAAGATAGGTATTGTACCGTGTTTCAAATTTCTACATGAATTGAAATACAATATTTTCTGTCTTACATGTTTATTTTCATGACAAACTGCATCGTGATGTTACACACATTCTTGGGTGCATTCGATCATTGCCATGTGATAATTCAAATAATTCTGTTACCCCAAACTGGGGGCAACTAGATGAGTTCTTAGCGCAAAGGTTTGGGGCTGAATCCGGCTAAGATTTGCTTTGTACAGTAGTAGACACACCCAAGTTGTTGTAGATTTGTTGCTTTGTGCATTCGATCATTTGACAGGAGAATATATATATTTTTATGAGAAACCAAACCATTCCTCGGCCTATTCAAGTTGTTTTGTAAGGAATGTATGAATCTAATCTATTTCTCTAGATTCGATTGTCAAATTTTTTGTTAAGTTAGACAATCCCATATGTTATAAAAAGCCTGCTCTGAAGAGCCTTTCACCATTGGTTGTGAGACAGTGTACTACATAGATACAAAATTGAACAGTCTGTTAACAGCAAGATATACATCCTGTCTTTTAGTATTTGCACTGTATAAAACATCATCCTGTCTTGTTATATTACATGAAAATGGTGGATCATTTATCAACAAAAAAACTATACTCCAGTTGAAGAAATAGCACCATGATTGTCAAGTCTCATTAAATAACCATGCCATTCAGCCAGGAAAATAGAGACAACAATATCATGTTTTTTTTTTTTTATAATTTTTGTTCTTCAAACCGCAAAATTTATTTTGAAATCCGTCACAGCTTTGTCCTTAGTTTGAAGTCTTACCACATGTCAACTTTAGAAAGGCAGCTTAATATTATAAAAAAAATAAGGCTCCGTTTGATTTTAGAAAAAAAATTCTATTTTTATTTTCAGGAAATAGTTTTCATTTTCACTTTTTTTTAAAATTTGAAAACTTGTTTGATTAAATAAATGAAAATTTGATTCCAAAAATTAAATAGTAAAAATATATTTAATTTTTAATTTTTAAAAGTAGAAATGAATAAATAGTTATTAAAAAAGTAAATTACATTATAATTATTAAAAAAATTATTACATTAATTTAACATGTGAGTTATGTAAATATAAAACAATAAAGTTGATAAGAAATTTCATAACATAATTTATTTTAGTTTATAATAAGAATATAATGTTATTCTATATTGGGCATCAATTAAATTTTGAAAATACATAAAAATATTGTTATAAGCAGGAGCACATAAAAGTTTCATGAAAATAAAAATGTGTTTAATAATAATTGAGGCCTTCAAACTTTTGGAAAAAAATAATTAGTGTAGGCCCTGAACATTTTTTGCACTGAAAAAATTAATCTAACCCTTTGAAGTACGGAATCAAACGTTAACTATCACGACACATACATGGTAGTTTACAAAATTACATGACAATATATAATATTGATGTGGCAATTAACGATATTGTGTGACAATATATGATAGATGATGATATGATAGATGTGCTTAATTGATTTTTTGGCTAAGTTTGATGGCGTAATTGATTTTTTAGAAAGTTTGTGGACTTATTTACTTAAAAATTATTTAAATTAAAAATATAAAATACAAACAATTATTAAGATATTCAATGCATTAAATACAAAATACTATAAAATTAAATTATTAAAAATTTCATTTTAAGGATTATATTGAGTGTAAAAAAAAGTTCAGGGACCATAATATTTTTTACAAAAGTTTGAGGGTTTCAGAGACTATTAAATCAAAAAATTATTGTTAGAATAATTTAAATCGGTGCAAGTTAAATTAAAATTTTAGATATTATATTTTCTTATTTTTAAATTTTTTAAATAATTTTAATGAAAATACTGAAAATATATTTTCTATGTTTTGAAATCTGTCAATAGTTTTGTCCTTAGAGTTTGAAGTCTTATCACATGTCTAGTTGAGTAAGGCGGCTTGATATTATAAAAAAATAAGTGTTTAAATTTTTTTCGATCAATTCATATGCTAAACGTTATTTTTTAAGTGTTCTGACAGTAATGGTTGTTAAAAAGTTTTGTTAAGCGATATGTGTCACTTTTGTATATTTTTTATTTTTTAAAATAAAAAACTTACAATTATAAAAAAAATCTCAAATTTTAAAAAAAATCTTAAATTTTTGAAAACCTGAATTCGTAATCCCTATAGCTATATCGGTTGTTGGCCGTCAGCTTTTATCGTTGTCATTGTCGTCGATTGAACTTACTCCGATCACACCTTCACTTGACGAACAATCACCGACGAACCCACCAATGTCCGATCGTCCTCCTCCTCTAAATTTCTAAACTTAATCCCTAAAATTGAAAGGGAGAGAAGGTGGATGCGGGGTACTTAATGGGGTTTTTAAAAATATTTACATTTTTAAAAATAAAAGATAATTTTTTAAAATTCTATAAACGTGATACGTGTCACTTAACGGAGTTTTTTAACGATTGTTAAGGTCGGAGTACTTAAAATGGTAACGTTTGTAATGTTAGACACCTAAATTGACTGGAAAAAAATTAAAGCATCTAAATGGGAAAAAAGATACAGTCTAGACACTTATATTTATATTAAGCCGTTGAGTAATAATGCCAATAATAGAATAAAATTTAATAAAATATTTATTTTGTAATTATGAGAGTTGAATTTACTCCTTTCTCAGTCAAATATACACTAAATAATTGGATTAGATACTTTTTAGGGTAAATTATCTTTTCAGTCATTGCATTGTGAGATTGATTTAATTCTGATTCTTAAATAAAAATTTATTAATTAAATTAATAAATTTTTGTTTAGTTTTAATCAAATCACGTGTCGTTAATTGTTAAAAATTTATTGATTTGATATATAATAATATATTTGATCATCATCATTATTATTTTATTAATTTATCTTAATTTAGATACTTTAATAAGATGACGATATTGACATAAAATTATATATTATAATGAGTTTTAGGTGTTCAAACTTAGGACCTTTGAAATATCATTGTTTAAACCACTAAATCAAGTATTTTTTTCTAATATTTAATTTTTTATTTAAGTCTATGTGCCAATTTTAATTCTATACAATTGCAAAAAAAATCTTAAATTTTTATTAATTAAAATTTTAAATATTTAGGTTGATTAGGTGATTAAAGCTTTAACTTTTCAAAGGTTTATGTTCAAACCTTTTAAAGTTTATTTTATATTTTTCTTAATTTTTCTCGAATGACAATCAAATATAGTATTGTATAAATTTATTTAAGCTAACACATTAACAATTTTATTAATAATTAACATTGATGACTTGATTAAAATTTTTAAAAAATTAATTGATAAAAAGTTAATCCCTAATTTTTAATATATTACAGTAATAAAACAAAAACACTTAGCCCAAATAAAAAGTTGGGCTCTTGCGGATAATAACGCTTTAATCACATTCCTGGGCAAGGACGGAAGCAGCTAAGAAAGGAAGAAGAAATGTTGAGGTCCATTGCTAAACGAGCCACGCTCTTAAGGCCCCGCTGCTCGTCTCTCCTCAATCAAGCCTCTATTCTTCCAAGAAAGGCGATGCCAAGTCCAAGACCTCCGATTCGTTTTCCTATATTCAATACAGAGTCTCAATGTCTCATCTTTCTTCTTGACAAAGAGAACTGGGGCTCCCCACGGTTAAATAATGGGTCAAATGAATCCCATATCCAACAACTCATTGAGTTGGAATTCAGTTCCTTAAGCTCCTTTGGGGCCATATGATAAGGAGTCATCGAAATTGGGGTAAAATCGAAATAGACTTCAATCCCAAACTGAACTTCTCTATCCGGTGGCAATCCAGACAACTCTTCACGAAAAACGTCAGGAAATTCCTTAACAATCTGGATGCCTTCAATGCCAGATCGAGAACTCCTAATATCCAGAATATAAGCAAGAAACGCCTCGGAACCCTTCATGATTATCCTCTCAGCTACCAATGCTGACACAATATTCGTTAGGAATCCACAATGTTCCCCGATCATCTCAATCTTTCTGTTATCCAGAGTCTTCAGAACAGCTCTCTTGGTCTCATAATCGAGATGAACTCGATGCTTGTTCAACCAATCCATGCCAAGAATCCAGTCAAACTCCTCCAAAGATAACCCCATTAGGTTGGCCAGAAAGATCTACCTATGGATCTCTATAACACACCCTCTATAAATATGATCTAACTCCATGTACTGATATACATGACTCTAAACTGTCACCAAACTCTTAATATTCTCAACCGAGATATTAAGACCCTTAGAAACGAAACTACTCCAGCAGCTACCAAAGACTTCGAAATCTCGACCGCATACATATTACCAGGAACTCTAGCAAGTCTCCGGAATATACGAAAGACATCCCTATTAATGGCATCCTCATCCATATCAGTGCCCTCGTAACATAAGGATCTATCTGCGGGACAGAAGGATCTCGAGGTGACATAGGATCGTCTATCGTAACAGAACGTCGAGTCGTTCGCCCTCGACTACGGCCACGGCCTGGCCTACAACCTCTAGTCTCACTCATCGAGTAAATCTACAAGCTCTACAGAAATAATTTGAACATAAGTTAGACTAGCATCAGGAACCTCGAATATATTTAAACTCATAAAATAAGGTGACACAGTTTTTGAAAAATATCTTGAAAATACGGATTTTTTGACTCATCCACAGTCCGATTATTTAAAACTGAAAGTTCTGATACCACCAAGTGTAACCCCCTAAACCCGACCTGGACGTTATACCCAAATCTAGGCGGTCACATATCGCATTCTGAAATTCTTTTCATATTTAAAACAACGTTAAAATTCATATAACAATATAATATAAAATTTATCCATAATAAGGATTCATACGATAAACATATATATATATATATATATATATATCAGAAAACCGTATGAAACATTTACGGAACAAAATACCGGTAATACAAATATATCAAGACGGTAGCAAAACATGTTCACCAAAATATAACAAAGGCATATAGAGATATAATTATTACAAAAGTAGGAGTAATCGATCTTCTTGATGCCAAGTCTACTAGCCTAGTATGATATTATCTGAAAATATTAAAATTTATAGAATTAGCTAAAAAAACTCAGTGTGCTCCCTACGGTGTATAAAAACATATAGATAAAATATCTTAGTAAAAATCAGTTCATCAAATATGCTTTAAAACATGAATAATACCCCCGCCCAATAACCAGAATGTGTAGGTTCTTCAAACCATACACCCACATGTA